TTGGATGCATGTTGACATTGAAAAACTTTTCTTCTTGAAGAGCCATTTGGCTCTAGCAGGACTGAAACACGGGGTTTGCTGCACAAGGGCTCGTGCCAAGTTCAGCAACTCTGAGAGCCGTAGGTCGTGCATGCCAGGACCCATATCTTGCTGCACTGTCAGAGGGCTGGCAGGGCAAATCTCCTCTGCCTGGTGCTGAATCCCAGGACGCAGAAATCTGCGGTGTTGGGATGAGGATGCGGAGCTGGGCTGTGAGGGCCTGAGGTGAGGAAGAGAAATAAGCGATGAGGCCAGGCAGTGCGTCCCTCTGCCAGGGGACTCCCGGGATCTCTCTCCCTTGCTCCTTTGCTGCCCTTGGAGGCTCCTCTTTCCGAGCAGCACTGACATTGATGTGCTACTTGTCTCTGAGGCAACAAGAATGCCTTATATTTTGTGTGCAGCCCTGAATTACGTCCCCAAAGTAAACTGAACCCAGCAGATCAAAACATGTGATAGTTTTCTGCTGGATGCTACAGGCTCTGAGAGGCTGTAGTGTGTGTGTTTGTTGTGAAATGGGCCTCTCTGGTGATGATTATTTTTGTTACAGGCAGAGTTGGCTTTAATTTCTGTGTTGAAGGTCCAACAATAACAGTGAGCCCTGCTCTCCTGGGGTGAGGAAAATCCAGAGGGGTTTAATCGGCAGGAAATTCAAGTAGGAGAACGCTCTGCTCCCGGCCTAAGGCTTCAGCGTGTGCTGATGAGCTGCAGAGCTGAAAAACCCCAAGTGTGGGTGGAAGATGATGGGGCCTGGCTGTTATTTTTGGGTCCCCTGAGTGATGATTGCTCGTTGCAGCCCAGGGGAGGCAGGGGGAGACTTCATCAGCCTGGATGTCTCCAGCACATCAGCACAGGGAAAATGGGGTCTGCCCCTCACGAAGGGTGAGGAGCTCAGCTGCTGATATCCATCTCCATGGGAAACTTTGGAGTTGCCTGCCGTATGCTGCGGCATTTGCAGGAGTCTGCCCTCCTGAGCTTCTCCAGGTCTTCCTTTCCCATCCCTATGGCTTGGTGGTTGTCCTCTGGTGTAGTTCCCCTGTTGGGGTGGTCCTGCAAGGAGAAGGTTGCTGGGATAATATAAGTCATGTGGTGGGCCTTAACAAATGAGGCGGTCTGGGGATTTCCCATCCTGAACACAGCCTGCTCTGACACTGCTGGGGAGTGCCAATGTCTAGCCTCTGTTGGGGAGCCCGGCTGCTCTCCCGTGGCCTCACCATCGGCTCAGCGCTCCACTGGCTCCTCCACCATGCAGGCTGGCAGGGGCCCCAGCAGTTTGCTTTCAACGCCTGCATTTTGCTTACTGAGCAATGGGATGTCCCACGCACCTGGCAGACTTGGCTTATACTTCAAAATTTAATTTTAATTTTATTAAGTGAATTCAGGGCTGGCAAAAGCTGCCAGAGCCCATTAGCTGTGGAGCATGTCTTGCTTCCAAAGCATACAGCCTGGGCAGTAGCCATGCCACTCACATTTTTTTTTTTTTTTTTTTTTTTTTTTGTGTGGATTCAATCAGTTTGAAAGGACACATTTATGTAGAAGCTTGACCCTCTACTGTGTACAAAACAGACCTGATTTTATACAGAAAGCCAGTGGTTGGCATGTCTGCTGAGGCAAACCCTTTGCCCATCAGTGGGCACAGTGATAGATTTTTTTGTTGCTGCTGTTGCAGGTGTTTATCTGCTAGATACCAGTGAATCAAAACAGAAAAAGCCTGCCGGAACAATTACAAAGTTATTAAAGTCATTTTGCCTCTTCAGATAACTCTAAGAAGCCCCAGTTTCCCTGATACACTATTGCCCACCACACGGCCTGGTGCTGTGCGTGGACAAGGCAGCTGTGTACTGAAGTAGCCGCCTTCGTTTTGCTGGACCTTTTTGGGGAGGGATGAATGAGAGGACAAAAACCTCTTCGTCTGAGAGACACAGATAAGCTTTCCTGCAGGTGGAAGGCTTTTCCTGCTGCAGAAAGATGGTGAAATTTTCCTGGTGGTATCTGAACACCTGAGGGATGTGGCTGGTGCTCCTGTCTGTTCAGTGATTTCGCCTGCTTGTCCCGTTTTGCTGCAGAGACCACAGCTGCAGAGAGCTGGGCTCCAGCCCCTCTCACTCGCTGTCCTCACCAGCACCAGCAGTTTAACTTGGGCACCAAGCTGACCTGAAATCAGGATCAAGCCCATGGATTTCCTTGGCTCTGTCCCGCTGACCTGCGATGGCCTCGCAGGGCAAGGGAGAGGTTTTGAGATCAGGGTAAACCTGGGTTTCTGCTCTTGAGTTCATTTGTCAGGGAAGAGCCAGAGCAAGCTGGAGCCTGACACCCCTGTTCACATTGCAGTTCACCTCCAACTGGTTGAGTTGCAACGGCTCAGAGTATTCATAGTATCCGGCGCGAGTAGGGGGCTAGCAACTTCTGAGTGGTGGGTGATGTTGGTGGTATCAGCCTAGCGGGTAGCATGTGTGTGAAAGCTGGAGAGACGGGGAGGGGATGACGAGGTGTGGAAGGATTGACTGTATTTTCATTGCTTCGAGACTTTGCCCTTTCCAAGAAAAATAATCTGCAGCTTGAATATTTCTCTTTGCTGGAGGGGGTGGACATGTGTGCAAATGAGGTGTGAATTTTTATGAGAAGGTGTGAAAGTGTGTACATGAGTGAAGTGTGAATTACACGTCTATTTGTACATTGATGTCAACAAGTCCGTGAATTTCTTCCTTCCACGTGAATGTCTCTTTCTCTCTCTCTCCCCCCCGAACCCACATAGACACGTGCGTGGGCAAATATGCCTTGCTGAGAAAAGAGATTTGTGCAAGAACGTAGGTTTGTAAATGTTTGTGTGTTGAGCAAGCTCTCCCGTGGAACAAAACCAGATGTTTTTTGGTATTCTCAGCTCTTCCGTGGCGGTGTTGTGATTTTTCCCCTCGTATTTTTCAGGATAGCTACAGGATTATTTTAAGAAAAAAGGGAAGGCTGCAGAGATGCCTTTGGGTACATGAGAAGAAAGTTATTTTGAAGAATGAATGTGTTAGAGGGCATGAAAAATACGGGGGAAACTGAGATGGTGCTTTTTCATGGTGAAGGAAGCCTCACTCCCCCACAAAGGGCCCTCCTGTTGCCCTTGTTCCCGCACAGGGCACGTGCATTTTCTGCAGGCAGTGTGCAGACAGTGTGCAGGCAGCAGGTTGTTTATTCAAAGTGCTTTTTTCCAGGAAGCATTGCTGCCGAGGGGTCCTGCTGCTCGCCTTGGCTCCGGCAAGAGGACAGTTTGAGGGCGGGCTGAGATGTCCCCACCGAGAGCAGGCAGACTTGTGGCAGCCTGGCAGGGGACACCCTTGGGGCCTGGTGGACCCCATGGCAGAGGGACAGAGCCAGACCTGCGGTGTGGGCTTGAGCCCACACGAGTCTGCACTGCTTTGCTTTTCCCAGGCAGTCCCAGGGCTTTGCAGTGAGTGCCGCTGCAGGAGGGACAGGAACAGCCCTCGGGACCAGGGCGGTGAGGAGCACCGCGAAGACCCTCAGCCTGCAGAGCTGATGTGGTGTGGGACGTGTGGCTACTCTCCTGCACCACAGGGGATGCTCCTCCTGTGCCTCGGCTCCCTTGGGCGCATGTGATGCGCCTCAGGCTCCATCACAAGGTGTGCACATCTGGGCCCTGGGAAAGTCCACCTGCATCCTCCTGCAGGACCGGAGCCCTCCGAGACTGAGGGGAGGCTGTGGGGACAGCTCTGCAGTGGGGACAAACCACTAGTGTTTGTATCCCATGTTGTACCCCATTGCTTATCATCAAGGAGGCAAAGCCTTTCTGCAACACGGGACTGGGGTCACCCTGTATTCCTGCCAGCCTGCCCTGTGAAGGGGCTTAGGATTTTGCTGTGGGTTTTTTTTCCCCCATTTTGCTGTGGTGTTTTGTTTTTTTTTTTTTCCCCATTTTGTTGCGTGTGCAGAGGCAATGCTGTCTTCTGGGGGCAGCTGTGGCAGCCTGTGGGGCCGTGGTGCTGGAACGGGGTGGTGGCAGGGGAGGGGGGGAAGTAAGAAGCATGCAATAGGGGCCCTGTGGAGAAAGGGACTTTGCTGGGATTTGTAGTGCGTTATCAATGACCCTGTAATGCAGATTTTCCTCCAAGCAAGTAATGCAATAATAAATTTGATTTGCATCGTTCATGAGATTAAATGTTTTTTTGAAGATGAAATCACCCTCCAGGGCCTGTTCTAACCCAAAGCTCAGAGTGCTTCCTCCACTCACCATGCAGCCGCTGCCAGCCATTTGCGGGCTAGCCCCACAAAACCACCACTGCTGATTATCCACGTCTGCAATTCCAATGGCTGGGTTAGCTTGAAAGGTTTCAGGAGGCGGGAGCCCATCTGCTGAGATGGGGTGGTGGGGGCAGGCAGGGTTGGGGAGGGGAGAGAACAGCGAGCCGAGAAGGGCTGTCCTCAGCTCTGCCACCAGCCATGCGGGTGGGCCTGGGCTCGCCATCAGCCCTGCCGTGCCTCAGCTTCCTTCCTTGGGACCAGCAAAACTTTCTCCACTCCTGCACCTGTACCAAGGGTCATATGCGTCCAAATTTTGGTGTCTCTCAAGGCAGCTGTGGGAGACTGCCACAGAGCAGCTTGCAAAGGAGGCAAAAGAGGGATAAAATGAGGCGGCTCCAGATGATCGGATATCAATCTGTCTCTTACTTTATGGCTCTGTAATTGCCTCGGCAAGAGCATTTATTTCTCTTTTCTGGTCTGTGTGAAATGTGGTATGTAAGTGTGGCAGGAGGTAGAGGGGAAAAGGAGTAAGTTTCTTGTGTAGAATAATTGCTCTTGCCCAGAGATTAATGTGAAATATTAGAGTATCAAACGGATGTCAACGGCCTGGAGAATGGCCTTTATCAGACCACCCCTAGCAGTGGCCCGGAGGGACTGGCTGTGCGTGGCCGATGCCCAGAACCCATTTCAATGCCTTGTTCCCTTCTATGTCTCTGCAGCTCAGCCGTGTGGGGGCCGCCTGAACTCCAAGGATGCCGGGTACATCACCTCCCCGGGGTACCCCAATGACTACCCCTCCCACCAGAACTGCGAGTGGGTCATCTACGCCCCTGAATCCAACCAGAAGATAATCCTCAACTTCAACCCTCACTTTGAAATCGAAAAGCATGACTGCAAGTAAGAGTTTTCCTCTATAGTACATAGTCACCTCCTCTTCCCGTTTTGCCTAGCGGTATGGACCTTGTGCTTCCTTGTGCGTAAAACCAAGCATTGTCCTGAGCCCCCATAGCGCTGCGTCTCGTTGCCTTTCAGGGGCAAGTGTGCCTCTACCAACTGCGTGGTTATAAGATGCTGCTTTGGACACATAGGATGAGCCTACTCTGCATTGAACTTGTGGTTCTTAACTCAGCCTGGTATCACCTAAAAGCAAGAGCTAACTGACTTTCAACCTGAATTTGACTTTGGTTAAAAGGCAGCTTGTTTTTCTCGGTGTTGAAGTGGCCTCACTGTCCTTTTAAACCATGCTGGGAGAGCAGAGCAATTTCCTGGCATGTAACCAGGCAGAGGTACGGCATAGAGGTGTGGCTAGGGCTGGAGACCCAGGCTCGGGCCCTGTGAGGCTGGGGGCTTGGGGGTCCAAGCTATTTGGGCTGGGTCTGACTCTCTACAGTGCTTATTCTGCTGCATTTGGTAAACTGGGGGTTTGGGTTTGTTTGCTTTTTTTCCCTTTTCTTTTAAGAAGGGACTAGGAAACTAGATGTCCGGGAAAAACAATTAACAGCTAGTAAAGAATAATTAACGGCATCAAAGGGCACCATAAAAGGCTGAGTTAATAACATGGTCTCAGCAGACTTATAAATCTGTGTGTTTAATCTGGAATCCACAGCTAGCTGCAGGGATGCCTGAGCTGTGAAGGAGCTTGGGGTCTCCTAAAACGGGCCTGACACAGCAGTCTTGCCAGACACACTGGTCCTGTTGATTAAAAGGAGGTTATATACGGAGAGGGGAACTCTGTTTGCAAAAAGGACAGAGGGCCATGGAAAGCATTTATGGGGCTGTAGAATCAGTCCTGTGGAGAACAAAGAATTCAGCATGGGTTTGATGATGTACTGAAGGTTATGAAGCGTAGAGCTGGATCCTCAGCTACCATAAATCAGCGTAGCTCCTCTAACTCTAATGAAGGTGTGCTGATTGATGTCATTGGGGATCTCATCACCCCCTACAGATAAAGCCTAGGCTAATAAGGCTTTAAGCACCATGAACTCTCCCTGAAGTCACTGTGTGCAAGGCGGTTAGCACTTTGCAGGATCAGGCCTGTGTTTAGAGAGGGGAGAAGGTAAAGTCTGAATGTGGGCATAGATGAACACAACAAGGCTTTGGCAGCATGTGTGAGAATGATGGTTGCTATCAGATTTTATTATTGCTTGTACAGGCTGAACTGTATAGCCTTCCCATAGCTAATGCAGTTGCCCCAAATTCACAGTAAGAAAAGCTTTATAGGCCTATATTCAGAGTCCACAGACTACGTGATACGTACCGGGCAGGGCAATGTGTGCTGGGCAGGAGACTTCAGCTTCTGCCTTTCCAAGGTCTTGGGCAAGCAAAGCCAGGTTGGTCAGCGAGCCAGAAACCCCCACAGGCACCTGGCTTTTCCTCCATGTGTAGGAAGCTGTCAGTTGTAGCTCTGAGCACCTTGGACAACTTTTGCCATGTTTTGCTGCTTGTGAGAAAGCAGGGTCTGGTCCCAAGCTGCAGGTGGTGTGTGCTGGAGGGGCTGCCTGGATGCTGGAAATGTTCCTTTGCTGCTTTCTGCTTTACAGTGGCAGATCTTCCGAGTGGCTGCTATGTGGTCTCACCCTTTCCCTTTCTGTGTGTACGTGCATGAGGGAGCCTTTAGTTAAAGCAGAAAGGTTTGAGTTGGAGGGTTTTGGTCCCCCATGTGGGACACGAATGGTGGAGGGTTTGTCAGGGTCTCTGATTCAGTTCAGCTCCTGTGGCAACATTGCTCTCTAGAAACCAGGTATTAACATCAAGCCTTTCCTGAAAGTGAAGTTTTGCCTGCACCTCTATCCTCTCAGCTACCACCTGTGTGCAAGTGAAGCAGGGTTCATCCACAGTGCACTTGGGCTTCTGCTGGCCACAGGTATGAGCTGGGAGCCAAGCTGACTTTGGGTGCCTGCTCCCTAGAGCCAGCACTGCGAAGGAGTGGGTTTGAAAGAACTTTGTGGCCAGTACTTGATGGGAAGCATAACCAAACAAATGAAAACAGTGCATGATAAACACTGTCTGAAAGAAACTGATAGGAGGGAGACTTTTTAAAGTGACCTACCAGAAGGAGACAAGTATTAACACTGTAATGCTTGGGCATTAAGCAGTACTAATGGGTGACCATCTAGTAATAAATATCATCATCTAAGTATCAGAGGGTATTTTATGAAGAAGCAAAGCCCTCATTGCAGCTGCAGGTGGGAACCTTAACAGGAACAGGAGTTCAGCATCAAAGAAATATAGTCTCAGGGCAGAGCCCTTCTTTTGACATCTGATCATTAATATAGAGCACATTCACACTAAAGGTGACAGGCTGATGAACCCCATTGTGGCGCGCTGTCTCTGGGCAGACAAGGTTCCCTCTGCTCTGGTATTGCTACCTGGCAGCTATTGGAGTGGGAGCGGGGCTGGTCTGTGCTTCCAGCTGCCAGAGGTAAACGCCGTAACTCCTGCCTCTCTTGCTTCTTCCTTCGACATTTAGTTTTACCTTATTAGGCTAAAATTTCTCCCTCATAAAGCATAACATTTACATTCCTAAAACCCATTCTAAGGCCCACAAAAATATCTGCAAAAGTCTTTTTAGTTTTACTGTGTCCTTTCTGGCCTTCCTTGTATCTGCTTTAGATTTCCCCTTGGGACGGGAGGCGTTTCCTCCTGTGTTTTGTACGGTGCCTGGCACCCTGGGGACCTCTGTGGAAAGGTCAGTGATTTCCCCTCGGTGGCCAGCTGGCCGGAAAGGGCCTGCGTACCTGGTGCTGCCTGGATCTGCAAAAGTCTTTTTAGTTTTACTGTGTCCTTTCTGGCCTTCCTTGTATCTGCTTTAGATTTCCCCTTGGGACGGGAGGCGTTTCCTCCTGTGTTTTGTACGGTGCCTGGCACCCTGGGGACCTCTGTGGAAAGGTCAGTGATTTCCCCTCGGTGGCCAGCTGGCCGGAAAGGGCCTGCGTACCTGGTGCTGCCTGGACGCCGGAGCCAGAGCTGGCTGTGGAGAGCGGCTTCGGCCGCCGCCCCTGCCTGTCTGGAGGTGGGAGCATCAGCCGGGGTTGGACGCCTGGAGGTGGCAGCCAGGGGCGGCTGCTCAGTGCTGATTGTTGCTATTGTTTTTCTGGAGCCACATCTGGGCTTTTATTTTTCAGCTGTATCCAGCTGCATTAAGAAGTAACTGCACTCCCACCCCCAATCATGAAAGGAGTAACTTAGTGTAATTGAAGCCCCGGAACATATTCCCCTCTCTCTCTTTCTCTCTGTGCTTCATCCATGCCCCAGGGAAGCACCTTACTTTGGGAAGGCACTTCAGGTTAAGAAAATTGGCCGCTTCCTGCTGTTGTGGCTTCTGTGCACCAGCACAGCAGGGATCCCTGTTGTGGGAGGGTGGGCATCCTGTGACAGGGACTATGGGACCTGGGCCATTGTTCATGCTGTCCTGCAGCCTTGGGGCTGCAGCAGTAATGGCAGAGCCAAAAGGGAAGTTTGATGCTCCAATAAAAGACCTGCCAAACTATTCGGAAATAATTGTAATAGCCTGTCTGCTCGCTGTTTCTTCCTCTCCATGCCCTGAGCACAGCTGTTGCTTGGGCACTACAGACCTGCACCATTGGTATCTGCTCTCTGAACAGGGACGTGGCATCCAGTGGAAAAGAGCACGCTGCTGCTGCTGTGGCAAAATGTTTCCACTCTCCACGTGGCATGGCGGTAGCTGGGCAGCCTTGTGCGTGACAGGGTTTATTTGTGATCCCAGGAACGACCTGAACCTTTTGCAGTAGGTGTACAATAGGGGTGGCTGTCCCCCGGCTCACATGGTCACGTAGCTGAGCTGCCCGCTCCTTCCTAATTGCCATTTCCCTGTTGTGTCTGCACTGCTTGCTTGGAAAATCCAAGTCATAAACCTCAGCTCTGTGTGAATCACTGCATTTGTAACCACCTTTTCCATTCGTGCCTCCCTCCCACTGCTGCACTTCTCTTTGGCCCATTAAAAGCTCCCTCCCAAGGCTGGCTACTGACTCTGCTGGAGGATTAGGCTGGGCAGAGCTGCCGTTGACTGCCGGGACGTTGCTGTACACACATGGCAGAGGCACGCTGCCTCCTGACTGCAGCGGATGGGCTCATGCTCCCTCTGCAAGCAGAAGACCTTTCAGCTGAGTCATAACATCTGTACCAGAGGAACGTTTTTTTAAAAAAAAAAAAAAAAAAAGCCCAACTGACAATCAGACCGTGCCAGCAGGTTTTTCTGTAGCCCTGGGTTGCGATCAGTGGGATCCTTGCCTGGGGAGGATTTGGGGGACCGCTGCCGTGGCTCGCAGCCCCCTCTGGTGGCACATGCCAAATGCTGGCGAAGGTCTCTGGAGAGAGGGGCCCGGGGCTACAAAAACAGGCAGGAGTTGGCAAATTGGAGACGGCCCAAAGCTGCACAGTCAGGCTCTTTCTCCTGACTTTGGTTCCCCATGTCAAGCCCTGGGGGTTTCCAGAAACAGGAACTGGGGCCACCGTAATGAGGAAATTTATGCAGTTGTCACTGTGACCTCATAAGTGCCACAGTGGTGCGAAGAGAGTTGAACCAAGTTCAGTATCCTGGTGTGTGCTGGATACTGGGCAGGCATGGCAGGAGATGCCCCTGCTCCCAGCCTGAAGGACAGAGGGGACCACAGTTTGGCAAGGGAAGACACTACGCTCCCAGCGCCCATCTCGCAGAGCGGTGCCTGCCAGGGGACACTGGTAGTAACACGCTGGTGTTCCTGGGCCACAGTATAAAGGGTGAGACACATGGGCTCGGCTAGCCGGTGAAGGCCTCTTATGGCAGCATGGCCATCTCCCGTGCTTCCAGGAAGCTGGGCACTGGAACAAAACAGCTCTGCACCCTTCCTAGAGAGCAGCAGAGACGCTGGCAGGGGGAGCTGCAGCCAGGCCCAGTG